GGGGGGGGGGGGGGGGGAACCAAACCCATCACCCCACCAGCCATCTCCACAGATGCGAGCCCCCATCCGGCCCCCAGGTCTTCTGGCAGAGCCAAGATTTAACCCCTTTTCTGAAGGCCATGAGGGAGGGGGCACAACGGACCTTGGGAGGCAAGATGTTCCATAGAGCGGGAGCCACAGCAGAAAAGGCCCTCTGCCCAGACCCCACCAATCGGAATTCCTTGACCGGTGGGGTCTGCAACCTGCCCCTTCTGCTGGACCGAGTGGGGTGGGCTGAAATAACCGGTTAGCTTCCATGGCTAAGGCAGGACAGGTCAAGATGCACTAGGAGATGTGAGGCCACAATTTTCTGTCACCTTATCCAAGAATGGGCTCTCGTTTTCTTCTAAGTACAAGGGGACTTTTTCAATATAGGTCTTATAACTACCTCCTTTAAACGTAGAGATACATATCTGGTGCCCAGGGAGGCATTAATCACTTCCCTGAACCACATGCCCCATCACAACCTGGCCAAATTAATTAGCAATGCCAAAAGTTGAGTGAGCAAGCAGCAGCCTTCACCTCTCCACATATCCTGTCCCTATCTTTTAAATCTATAAACTGAAAAGAATCTGTAAACACCTGACAAGCGGTTCACAAGTTTTAAAAATCTCCTTGACCTGCTCCAACAATGGAGCTCAAATCAAAGTGAACTGGATTATCTGTAAAGAGTTATAAAAACTGCTCACTGAGAGACCTGGAGTTCTCTGGCTTCCTCTCCCAACACATGGATGAAGGCGATGCTGAACCATTCTGAAAATCATCATAAGCCTCTTCTCTGCAGTTGCAATGGAAGCAAAGAAGCAAGCCATCTTTGCTGTACCTACTGCTGCAGAGTACCACTTCAAATGGGCCTAAAAGAGAGTTCCATTTTATGTACAGTGTGATTTGTCATGAAAGGTCCTCCATTTTCACTCCAATTCTCTCCTATCCAAGATGCCAAATAAGATTTGGCAGAGAGAAAAATCACTAGGAAATAGTAATACCAACTGCCTGGGCCATCTCCGTATCTCACAGATCAGCCAGTGCTTCAGTAATACGAGCAAAGGTTGAGGCAGGAAAATTCCCAAGCAAATTTGGAAAACCATACAGGTCTATAAGATGCCTATACTGGACCATTTTAACTGGTTCCCCACCCTTTTTCTGGCATATTTGTCAGACATTGAGATCCCTCAAGTTTCTTTCAACCATTCTAGATGCTTTTTGAGCATTTATGGAATCTATTTCATCCAGTATTCTCCAGGCTGTAAGCCCAATTTACTTAGGCAAGCAATTAAGACTTCCTTTCTAAGACATACATTTCCTTTTTAAACAGCTAGGGATATCATCTGGAACTGAACAACTATCTTTTTATTGTTACTTGGAATATCTAGTTTTTAATTACTGTTTTACATTCAATTTTTTTTTCTCCCTTGAGAATCTATTCAAAATGAAAAGCCTGTTATATATTCTTTAGCCTATTATGCATTCTTTGAAAAATGTGCACAAACATACAGAAACAATAAAAAAACCTGGGCCATGTAATTGCTTTCTTTTTCTTTTGACTTAAAATTCAGCACATCATTAGCAATACCAATAAAATGGATCCTGCAGCTCTGGTAAATGCTTTATGCCTCAGGTTTTGAAACATTTCAGTATAAATAAACTAAATTGGTTGTCACTACTGGTCATTTCAAATATTCTTGGCACTTATAAAACTTTTTTTTTTGCTAAACCTGGAGACCCATATTTGGCACAGACAGAGCCTATCCTTTCACTATTTGCAAAAGTTTAATACAATGGCACCAAGGGCAATGGAATGCAGGATTATGCAAAGAATGAAGGTGGGGAGGCTGCCATCTTGTGGTCCACAGGAGCTTCAGGCTTCCTCTTGTCCTACTCCTTGCCCCACACCTTCAATCTTTTAAAAAACAAACAAAACTGGCAGAATGTCATCCCTCTGCACAGAGCAGTGTGGAAGGAAGGAAGGAAGGAAGGAAGGAAGGAAGGAAGGAAGGAAGGAAGGAAGGAAGGAAGGAAGGAAGGAAGGAAGGAAGGAGCAAGTGAGGGATGACCCACTACTGCCACAACAGTCCTCCTACTTTGCTGTTCTTCAGTCAGCTGTTGCTACTGCTAGCCCTTCTTCCTCCTCCCCTTCAACAGGAAGGGAGTTTTGCAGTGACTGAGATGGTGGTGGGAAGTTCTTACAGGGCTTAGGCCCACTGGTGTGACAGTGGTGAGGAAAAAGTAGCTATGTGTCCCTCCATCCCTCTTTTCCCCATCACTATCAACTGATGCAGCCTGGGGGAGGGGCTCACCACTAGGCTCTCTCACCATTGCAGATGACATCAAAAAGATAAGGCTTGGGCCTCACAAAGTATTTCTTATGCTACTGTAATACTATGTGGGAATGACCTTGGGAGACAGGTGGAAGAACGCAGACTAAATAATGGTCTGATAAACGAAATCTGATAAAATTGTTTCCACCTGTTTCCCAAGGTCATTCCCACATACCATTACAGCTACTGATTGAATGTCTTCAAAACACATGATATATATCTATATGCTTGAGATATGACTTAGATATGACTTTATATGATAACAAGAATAGAACTTGGCCAAAGTGAAATTCTTTAGGTATTATTCCTTAGTAAAATTGGAGCTTCCGGTGAGGATTCATGGTGAACTAGACATCCCTGAAGGAGAGGGGATGGCATTCTGGCAGAGATTGGTGGCCAGACAGGGAATTCTGGCTGGAGAAGTTTCTCTGGAAAAATGAGATAATGTGAGGTCGCCCACTTGGACTCCAAACAGCTGCTCCTCATGAGTATAATACTGATAATGGATGAAAGAAAAATTGGACTGAGAATGTCTGATGTAAAAGTAACTCAGATAATGTTGGTAAACCAAGCAGCCAATTGAGATCTGATAGAGAGATCACTGCCAAGCCATTTCTATATTCCTCAAATCAGCCAGGACTTGAACAGAATTTATAATGGATAATTTCCCCTGATATTCTGCACTACTGTCAGCCCTTCAAGGATTTATTTATTTAAAGAACTTATATGGCTGCCTATCTCACATAGTGATCCTAGGCATCTTACAGCAATCAATCAAAACATAAAAAATATTGTACCCTTTCCACCAGGAAACCATAACAAACTACACTAGTGACTTCCCAACTCAACCCCTTCCTAGCCCAATGCTTGCAGGAAGAACCAGGTCTTCATGGCCTTCTAGAAGGCTAAAAGGGTAGGGTCCCCCAAATCTCAAGTGGGAGGCTATTCCAAAGGGTGCATTTAGCTACAGAGAAGGCACACCTCCAAGGTCTCACTAGGTGATATTTGAAAGAAGGGAGATAGGCCAGGTCAGGAAATTACTGGAACTCTGTTAAAGGGTATAATAACAAAATCTTGAAAACCTGATAGAGATTCTCCTTCCCCTCTCCTATAACAAAGAAAATCAAGGTGGGGCAATCTTGACTTTCTTTCTCACTCACTCCTCCCTTCCAGGGGAGCTAAGTTGTATTCACCTAGGCTGTTGAATTCCTATTTCAAGGCCACCTCCATAGTCCTCAGAGTTTTTTACAATTTGTTTGGTGTCTCTGTTGTAATAATTTAGTAATTAATGGTAATACCTCTTCATTATGGGATCACTGCTGAATTGAATTTACTTTCCTATGCTTAGAATTTGACTCAGACCAATTGCTGAGTTGTGGTGGCCACAGTAGAAACATAAATGTATCTGTACAGTCTGATGCATAAGAAAGATTGTGTTTGCAAGGTTCTGTTGTAGAAAATGTTTCCCAACATTTAACAAGATACAGAAATGTTCTAAAGTCATATATGTTATAACATCCTATATTAATCACCAACAAAGGAAAGTTGATGCTACAACTGATGCCAAATTATTATTACTGATCCTGTTCCATTGTTTCCAATTATCTTTTGAAGTTGGGTTTATTTTCCAAGCCTTGCACTTAAATAGTGGAAAGTAGAACAATATGCAGAATGTTACTGCTGCCTTTGACAACGAGAAGAGAAAGGAAATCATTTGGAAAGGGGAGGGAAAGCAATGTATCAGCAGGCTTCCTCTTCTGAGAGTTGTCTCTGAATGACAGGAGAATAGCAA